TTTAAGTCTCACATTAACAGACTCACGGGGATACCGCAATCGAGTTTGGAGGAGCCGACCATTCGGCATAACAATTGATTAATAATCAGCATTAAATAGTAATTAATTTAACTTTAATTAATTCAAACATATTGGTGGAGATATTAAAATTTACCTGAGCTAATAATTCCTACACATCACATCAAGGCCTGCCTTGCCCCTCCTTCGATACCAACCAGCTTGCCTACAGATCAAACTGGTCCACTGATGATGCCATCACCACAGCCCTCCACACTGTGCTGAACTACCTCAAACACCCTGGAAACTATGTAAGAATGCTCTTCAAAGAATACAGCTCGGTTTTTAATAAATCATCCCGGATTTCCTGCTGAGGAAACTGCTGGACCGAAACCCCTCCACAACCTGTACCTGGGTAAGAAACTTCCTCACAAACCAGCCCCAGTCCATTAGATATCACTCCTGTCTCCTCCTCACTCAAACCTATGACTGCACTCCCACCTATCCCACCAATACCATCATTAAATTCGCACAGTGATAGGGCAATATCAGTCTTCAGTAATCACAAAAACCAGTGCAATAATAATAATCCTTTTTATTTATCTTATTCATCCAAAGTATTTATATTTACTACCTGCCTCCTATGGCCGGATGTTTTTACATTTGCATATACAGTATATATATATATATATATATATATATTCCTACATACATATTCCTGCTATGCAGTGTGAAAGCAACACACAACAGTGGCCAGGAGCTACAAAAGCTCCAGGTTGAGACAGGGACCAGGTTATGGAGGTTCAGTGTGAAAGCTCCTTATAAGTAGACCCACACCTGTCCAGCACCTATAACCCAGGGCAGGTGGAACAGAGTCCAGGCCCTCTCTAGGAGCTTGGTTCCAGAGCCCATGCTGTGCATTGAGGTAAGCCAGACTATATCTAGATGGTATCTTGTTACCACCAGCTCAGGCTCCTTTCCCACCAAAGAGATTTTGTTCCATGTTCCTAAAACAACTTTCAGTAACCAAGGATCAGTACGTCAAGGCCCCTGCCTTTGACTACCACCCAATCCACATAGCACCGGACCTCCATGCCCCCCCCCCCCCCCCCCCCCCCCCTTGCAGGTGGACCCACAAGAGAGAAGAAAACCTGTTATGATATCATAAGGTATGAAGAAGCATAATGCTTTCTTATAAGATTGAAACTAAACCAACATGTAATTTAGGTAAGAGATGTCAGAGTCTGCACAGCTTCAGGCAGATACCCAGTGTGTATAGAACAACACTGAGCTTCTGGTAACAGGAAAGCAGCCAAAAGCCATTTGGGACTCACCTCTGGGGAGCAGCTCCACAGCGACCTCCAGCTCATAGCTCATCTTCTTGTTTAAGTAGAACTGGGCAAACTCCTGTAAAAATAAAACATGTCTACACACTATTCAGAACACTTTCCACTGGCTAGACTTTAGGATCTTTTTCATAATGTGATGACCCCTACATCCATGGGTCTAGCCAGAGATACTGGGGAGGACCTATAGGGAACAGGGCTTCAGGACTCTGTGATAGGCTTACTCACTAAACGTGGGAGCGTGACGTAGCACATAAGGTTCACTAGGGTCCCCACACATGGAGTGATGAAGTAACCTAGTGCTGCTGTCTCTCTCTCTGCTTTGCCTGTTCACACAGAGGGAGACAAACACAGGCAAGAATCTGGGGTAGTGTTTCCTGTTTTCTGGCAACTTCATTTTTTGTTTGTTGTTGAACTGACAGTACTCACTTGCAATTGCCAGCACCATGGCCAATGCAGCAAAGGTACCGGCCAGCCCCTGACCGCTCATGAATATGGAGCTGTACTTTCGAGGGAGGAGGCCCACCAGGCCAAAGAGACTCCCCTGCATCACCGCCCCGAACGCTGGGTACAGACAGATGATAGTCATAAATACAGTCATGCACAGACAGAGCACCACTATACACACTGTGCTGCATTCGCAAATGGGGAAGGCAGAACGCACAGTTAATGAACCAGATGGTTGCCATGGTAACTGAAAAGAACTGGTCCTCCTCCATGGGTACCTTGACCAGAACGGCAGTGAGGATGAAGAAAAGAAGGATGAAGACCAGACTTCCACCGATCCGAACCTTTTCCGAAACCCTGCATGTTCAGAAAACAAACAAAACTGCACTACACAGACTACATGTCCTGCAACTATATACTTCTAATTCTTGGGACACCTATAATTAGTGGGATTTCAACAACTGTGGTATTCAAAACACAGCAAGAACAAGTGCTAGTTGTGACAGATTATATTCATCCATCCATCCATCCATCCATCCATTAAATCCGAGATTATATTCATTTATTGCACATTCCACTTACATCCCAATTTGCATATTTTTTCCACACCAATTAGATGGTTAACTGTACATCTTTGTGTTTTTAAAATATCATTTATATTATCAAATATTCTTTATACGTATAAATATTAAAATGTATTTATCATTTGTGCTATAACCAACGTTTTTCTTGACCTAACAGTAAGAGACACACCAATGGTAACTACCATGTACTCATACAGATACACACTGACCCCAATTTTATAAAAATTCCTTCTGCTACCATTAAACAGAGTTGCTTCAGTTTTGGTGTGATTTATCTCAAAATTTGAACAGATCCATATCTTCAACCATACATTATATGTCTGCAAGGTTTGAAAAAGATGAAAAAAGAACTTTTAGAGTTATTTTGATCGCAAGGCCAAATGTCTTCTTCATTTTTGGAGGATTTTGTCTGAAAATGTCTCAAAATTTGAACAGGTCCATAAAGGTTGAAAAATCTGTGAAATACTTTTTGATTTATTGTGCAAAGGGGATCGGCCACAGCAGCGGATCAGTCCAAAAATCATATATTACTGTACTGTATTAGCCCAAATATAAGACGGTGTTTTTTTTCCCCAAAAAAGCAAATCCAAAAAACTGGGTAAGTCTTATATTCAAGGCCTAGGATTCAAATGTCATTAAACAAATACAACAGTAGATGGTATAAATGATTCACCTCCTGGTTAAAGGTGGCCACATACTTCAAATGGAGTTGATGGAATTGAAGTTGTTTTAGCAATACAACGTCGTATGAGCAGTGCCCATGATTAGCTGACATAATGTGACATTGCAAGGTTGGTCAGCAGGACTAATTATGCAGCTAAAAGTGGTCACATACTTCAAACATAGTTGACAGAATCAAGATTATTTTAGTGATACAGTGTTGTATGAGCAGTAATCCCACCCACTGTCCATGATTGGCTGACATAATATGATGTCACAGGGTTGGTCAGCAGGAATAATTATGCAGTTCCTGGCATGCTTTGCACCATAAGTGTCTTTAAATTAATATGTGCATTCATGCATTTTAATTGTGAATGTCATACCTGTAATGTTGGATTCCCTGTCTGTCCTGCTGCTTGTATTAAACCGATAGTGGCCATTAATAAAGGGAGTAACCTTCATTTTAAAAAAAGCTGTCATCTCCTTTATTAAAATGGCTCAAGCACTCACCACAACATGTTTTATTTGACCTCTTTATGTGGGTCTGCTGCATGAAAAACATTCTGCGCCTTCTTGAGTTGTGGAGTTTTTAATATTGACTATCGATCATTTACCCCCTAAATAATACATTTCTTTATTGGAATGTTTTTTTGTTTGATACACTTATTATAATGTGTAGCCTGTTGCTGTTCTATAACAGTGAAATGGGTATCTGCTTATTTGTTCTTTTTAAAGTGAAAGTATTTTTCTTTGTAAAGATAAGATATGGTATTGCAAAAACTTTCCTCCAGAAATAGTTATGGAAAAAGTTGGTGGGGGGGTCGTCATATATTCAGGCCAATAACGTATAGCTCATCCAGGAACGCAATGATCTGATATATAACAGATAAAGTATGTTAATATCACACTGGATTACACCTCAAGAGATGGGGGGTTCAAATCCCAGTTCTGCTCTATTTTCAGAGTTGCAGGTACCCCCAGTGTTTGTGTGGGTTAATTACATTGAATTGATTACACTAAGATGATTCATGTAATGTGGGAATTTGCCCTGACAGGTCAAGTTCAAGGTCAATTTCATTTATAAAGCACATTTAAAATAACCAAGGTTGACCAAACTGATGAACAATCAAATCAGTTCAGATATAATAATAAATATATAAATGTAGATAAATGAAATATAAAATAATAAAATGAATAAGATAGACTCCAGGTTTACTGTAACCTAATACTGCATCGGTGCTTATGGAAGATGGAGGAAGTGTGTAAATACCACTGATACAGGAAGGAGTTCAACAGGGTAAACAGGAGCAGTGGCAACTGGGATAGCAGAGTCATCCAGTTTTTGAAGTAGTACTCTTTGCGCACAATGGCAGTGCTATTGCTCCATTCAGACTTGTTAAGTCGGTTTTCAAAGTACTGCAAAATAGAAACAACACTAATCAGCTTCAAAGACAGACTGCATTAAAGCTGTAACTATTACTGCTGTCAACAGCTAATGCAGAAACTATCCATTCAGCTAGGCTAGCATATCTGTTCAGAAATCGGGACCAATAAGTCTTGATCGGCTGTCTCCCAGTGGCCATCCCTCCCAAACTCAACGGTCATCTGAAACTTGTTCCAAATGCAGAAAAACCACACTTATTATCATTTCCAGCATTACAAGATTATTAGTTGGTTCATTAGACTATTGTTGCTAATCAAGCTAAGTTTTAAGTATCTAGCATAGGGCTGAACGATTTATCGATTTCAAATCGAAATTTGAAAACAACGCGATTAGCAAATAGCAAAGGCTGTGATTTAGGACATACGTCATACAGCACGTCGGACCCAGGGTTTTAAACTGTCGTAAGAATAGTTTTCCAAACTCATACCGTGCTCCCCATAGATATATATATATAGATATTTGAGGAGAACTTAACTAATAGCTCAGAGTCGTTAAAATCTTATCTAGCTCTGATTTAAAGGAACCCAGGGTTTTAGCTTCCGCTACACTAGCAGGAAGACTATTCCATACTCTAACTACACACTGTGTAAAGAAGTGCTTCCTCAAATTCTTTTAAAAATGTTCTCCCATGTTGACTTACTATCTTCAAATTGGACATACCATTAAAGCAGTTACGAAAAAGTTCCATGGCAGAAGCGTTCCCAGTCCAAAGATAAAGAAAATGATGCCCATCAGGCAGCCCCTGTCAAGGGAAAGAGGTCAGATCACCTGGACCTGCTCCTATCACACTGCATGTCTGGGTTATATTTCCCAGTGAGGGTGCTGGAGGCTGCATGCTGACCTGTCCACAGGCGTGTTTCCTGGGGTCCCCATGGGCTCTCAGTGTAACACTATTCCTGGAACACAAAGAGAACGACACCTTCATCTCCAACCCACTTCAAAAATGATTGACTGTCACAAGAAAAAGTGGCAAGCCTTGCAAGAACATTTAATTCATATGTGCAGAGTAAAATAGTAATCTTTGACCTCATCATTGTGACACAGAGAAGAACCATGAGTTGATGCAAAAATCAGTCAAATTAAATTCAGTTAAAATAAGAAACAGTACTTACATGGACCCAACACATTCACTAAACAAAACTACTGGTAGATATATTATAATAATTTTATATTATTGTTACCTTATAGCATGAAATTATATTAAAATGTAGCTATTTCACTAAATACAAAATTAATTGTTAGTTACACTGCAAGTATCACAACTTAAGATATTCATTGGAAGTAATTTAGATACATTTTTCTAAAGAAATAAGAGGAGCTCATAAATAGAATGGCTGTTTTGGCAGCATTTTATTCACTGTACCAGAATGGTGACACTCTTTGTTACAACAACCAATGAGCAACAAGTGAACTGTACAATAAAAATTCAAAACAGCAGCGACTCAGCAGTGACCCAGTGTCTACCCCCAGGAAGGATGCTGAGGTACTAAGGATGAGCTACACCTGGGCTGCAACAGTTATGCGTCATGGCTAATTGTGTCATGCTGAAAAGCATGCTTTTCCACTGTGTAGGAAAATAAGGAATTAACTCCTAAAAAAAATCAGATTAAAATTTCTCCTTTTGTGTACTTTCTGGATGAAGGAATTAAGGCAACCCTTTTCACGGTGTTCTGTACTGACTAATATAACACATATAAATGTCCCCAGTGCTGGCCCTAGGTGAGATACAGCTGAGTTCCCCCCTCCCCCCCAGAGCAGCAGATAACAAATTTTGTCAGTTCATATTAAAAAAACATTTCAGTAGTACAGGGTTTCAGGCCGCTAACTGGCTAACTATTTAGCTAGCTTCTGTTTCAGAAACAGTGAAATACTGTATTAAAAATAGTGTAAATAATTCCATTCAATTCAGTTCAATTCAATTTATTTTAATAGTGGCAGAGTCTTGCAGTGATTAGCACTGATGCCTCACAGAACAAGAACAAGTTACAGGTACATTGGAATGCTTCTCTTCACCTACTGTATAACCCGCAATGTAAAGACTAAGCATACGATTACATTTATCAAAACTGGTCACAAAAATGCAACATTTTATACAGAGTAATGCTACATTTCATATTTTATTTAAAAAATGTAAACACCTATCGGGCATAATATAAATAGATCAGCCATATCACAAAAACCACCTGCGTAATATTGGGTACGTCCTCCTTGTGCTGCCAAAACAGAGGAGGAATGGACTCTACAAGATATCTGAAGGTGTCCTGTGGTATCTGGCACCAAGACTGTAGCAGCAGATCCATTAAGTCTGGTGTTTTGTGAGGTGGGGCCTCCATGGATCGGACTTGATTTTGCAGTATATCCGACAGATACTTGATCGAATTGTAATCTGGGGGATTTGGAGGCCAAGTCAAGACCTTGAACTCTTTTTCATGTTCCTCAAACACTGCTGAACAATTTTTACAGTGTGGCAAGGTGCATTATCCTGCTGAAAGAGGCCACTGCCATTGTGAAATACTGTTGCCATGAAGGGTGGTACTTGGTCAGTAACAATGTTTAGTTAGGTAGTATGTGTCAAAACAACATCCACCCAGGACCCAAGGTTTCCCAGCAGAACATTGCCCAGAGCATCACAACTGCCTCTGCCAGCTTGCCTTCTTCCCATATAGTGCATCCTAGTGCCATTTCCTCCCCAGGTAAAAGATGCACACACACCCGGCCGTCTACATGAAGTAACAGATAACATGACTAATCAGAGGAGGCCACCTTCTTCCACTGCTCTGTGGTCCAGTTCTGATGCTTCCATGTCCACTGTAGGTGTTTTCAGCATTGGACAGGAGTTAGCATGGGCACTTTGACCGGTCTACAGCTACACAGACCATTACGCAGCAAGCTGTGACACACTGTGTGTTCTGACACCTTTCTATCATAGCCAGCATTATTGTTTTCAGCAATTAGTGCTGCAGTAGCTCTCCTGTGGGATCAGACCAAACGGGCTAGCCTTCACTCCCCATGCATATCAGTGAGCCTTGGGAACCCATGACCTCATCATTGGTTCACTGGGTGGACCATTTTTGGTAGATACTGAGCACTACATACTGGGAACACCCCAGAAGACCTGCTGTTTTGGAGATGCTCTTTAGCCCTTATCAAAGTCACTCAGATCCTTATGCTTGCCCATTTTTCCTGCTTCTAATACAATAAACATCAAGACCTGACTGTTCACTTGCCCAATAATAGACAATAATAGCACCCTTGACTGGTGCCACTGCAACGAGATAATCAATGTTATTCACTTCACATGTCAGTGATTTTAATGTTATAGGTGATCGCAGTATGAAAAATCAGAAGAAATACCTCTGGTTGTGTTCCGTGACATTATTTACACTAGTTTTAATATTTCATTGCTTTTCTTCTTTTCACAATACGTGCAAACACAAAACACAATCCATCAAGTACATACATATCCATTTATTAATTGTGGTTCAGAAACGTAATACACTGGGGTCAAGCTATACACGCATGTATAGCTTGACACAAGTAACTGGAACAGATCTGGGCAAACACATTTACATAAAGCGCAGACACAGCACAAGTATTTACAACAGCTACACACAGGGGGTATTTACACAACTTGTGAGCATGCTGGGAAATTCTAATTAGTGGAACCATCTCACCGGCACAACAATCATTTTCGCACAAGATAATCAAGGTATTGAGCACACTTCTATGAACATGGAGCGGCGAACACAGCTCATAAAATTCAACTTCAATCTTAGAATATCTTACAAAGACTTTCGTGTAACACCGTGATAAAGCCCCATATTTGAGATTTTTGAATGTTGGCATGTGCACTTCACATGTATTTACAGTCAGGTGCCCTGTGTGGCCATAAATAGAGAAAAGGGTGTAACTACTAGGATGTTACAGTAATGTTTGTAGCTCACAGAAAATGCATATGGTGTCACACCCCAATCGTGCCGATCCTCCTGTGCCACGCCCCTCTCGTTAACCTCATGTGGATTCCCAGTGTTTAACTGTTTTGAGTTGTCCTTATTAGTTTGCTGTATTTAAGTCCACGTCAGAGTTTGTTTCTCCAGTTCTGTCATTGTAGTGTATTGTATCGTATTGTTATGTGCTTTATCTCTGGATGCCTCTCCGTTGGCCCATTAAATCCCTTTTTGCTCCAGCCTTGATGTCCTTGGCCTGTTTCCCTGGTTTGTGTGCTATGATACATGATAGAACTCGCAAAGAAGACACCTCAGATGATGCAGGAGGAATACCTCAGCATAATGCATTGGCTTGATCAGCCCTAAGTCCGGGATGATCCCCTGCTTCGGGCTCTAGCCTACCGGTGCAGGGACGAGAGATGTCCCTGCCCGGAGATGCGCACCTGGCCGGGCAGGTACATGAAAATTTGCGGCAGCTGAGACACGGGGTGGCTGAGGCGAACTTAAAATGGGAAGCCGCAGCCCGTTGATTGGCTTACGGTCCACTGGCGGAATTACCAGAGGTGCTCCAGACTTCGCCACCAGCAACAGTAAGCGGGAAGAAGAAAAAGCGCACAGGACAAAGGCAGGAAGACGCACAGGAGGTCTGCCAGGTGGCTCTCTCTCTCCACTGCTTCCCCTGCCGGGTGTCGGAAAGATCCCCTCCCGATACTGCCTGTCCCGACCATCCGCCCGCCGCTTCACTGCCCACATCGGCAGCACGCCCTTTTTCCATTTGGGATGCTATCCCGTGGGTTCCCCGGTTCCGGAAGTGGAAGGTGCCCGCTACCGGGGCACGAACCCCGACTCCGCCCCCCCGTGGTACCTGTGCCGGCTATTCTCGCAATGCCCCCCGTGGTTCCTGTGCCGGCTGTTCCTGCAACGCCCCCGTGGTTCCTGTGCCTCCTGCAGTGCCCCCCACGGTTCCCATGCCTGCGGCTCCAGCTCTGCCTCCTGCTTCGTCGCCCGAGGTCCCTGCGCCTCCTGCTTCGTCGCCCGAGGTCCCTGCGCCTCCTGCTTTGTCGCCCGAGGTCCCTGCGCCTCCTGCTACGTCGCCAGAGGTCCCTGCCCAGTCTCCTGTGGTTCCTGAGCCGGCGGCTGATGTCCTGTCCCCAGTGATTCCTGCTTCATTCCCCGAGGTTCCTGCTCGGTTCCCGGATCCCTTCCCCAAGGACATCCCTGATCCCCTGGACCCTACTCCCGTGCCCCTGGTCCCAGTCCCTGAAGAGGTCCCGATCTGTCAAACCATCGTTCCTCCTCCCTTAGTGGAGATGGAGGAGTAGCTTGAATGGGACCCCTCAGGGATAACCCTGACCTCCCCAGTGACTCCTCCACCATCACCCCAGCATGGCAGATCCCAGCTGGGTCCCCGCCTCTCAGTCTCCCGGAAAGGGAGGGGACACATGCGCCGGGGTCGGGTCCTGCCCACCCTGCCCCCTGGCTTGCCTTAGCTTCCCCTGGCTGTGGTTCGGCGGTCGCCTGTGGGGCCTCTGGCTCCAGCTCGGCAGTCGCCTTCAGTCCCCCTGGCTTCGGCTCGGCAATCGCCTCCAGTTCCACCTGCGGTGCCTCTGTGTCTGTCTGCGTTCCCTGTGGTTTGTTTGCTGTAGGAGTTGTTCTCTTTGTGCCTGTTCTGTGTGTGTGTGTTCCCTGTGCCCTGTTGATTTTTTTTGCTTTCGTCTTCCAGGTCCTGTGTCCCCGGGCCCATTCCTCCGCTCCCCTGGGGCGCACCCGGTGTGCGTGCCTTTTGGGGGGGGTTCTGACACACCCTGATCATGCCGATCCTCCTGTGCCACGCCCCCCTCGTTAACCTCATGTGGATTCCCAGTGTTTAGCAGCTGTTGTTGACTACTGTAATGCCCTCCTTTCTGGTTGCCTGTCTGGTTCCTTACATAAACTTCAGCTGGTACAGAATGCAGCAGCCAGAGTTCTCACAAACACTAAGAAATTTGATCACATCACACCAGTCTTATCCTCCCTTCATTGGTTACCAGTTAAGTCTCGGATTGACTATAAAATACTGCTATTAACCTATAAAGCACTGAATGGCCTTGCACCAGAATACCTTAGTGATCTGCTGACCACATACAATCCCCCACACTTGCTTCGGTCTCAAGGTGTGGGATATCTGTTAGTACCTAGGGTAGAAAGAGCTATGACAGGCTGCAGAGC